AGATGTATGTCTCATGGCCAGTCCCAAGAGGTAACGGCAACGATGCTGCTCTTCCAGGCAATGGAATATGAGACCACCTCCAAATGGAGGAACTCCCTACAAAGGTTTACCTTTTCAGGAAGAACCATCAACACTCAGAGACTTTGTATGTGACGTTTACTCAGGAATTTACAAACATAATTGGTTTGCTCCATCATGTTGAGGAAATTCTCACCCTGAAAATCTCCTCCGTCAACATAAATAAAGATTCAGTGTAGCTACCACCTTGATCGTAGCTCAAAGCTAGATGTATGTCTCATGGCCAGTCCCAAGAGATAACGGTAATGATGCTGCTCTTCCAGGCGATGGAATATGAGACCACATCCAAATGGAGGAACTCCCTACAAAGGTTTACCTTTTCAGGAAGAACTATCAACATTCAAAGACTTTGTATGTGACGTTTACTCAGGAATTTACAAGCATAATTGGTTTGCTCCATCAAGTTGAGGAAATTCTCACCCAGAAAATCTCCTCCGTCAACATAGATAAAGATTCAGTGTAGCCACCACCTTGATCTTAGCTCATTAGCTAGATGTATGTCTCATGGCCAGTCCCAAGAGGTAATGGCAGCAATGCTGCTCTTCCAGGCGATGGAATATGAGACCACCTCCAAATGGACAAACTCCCTACAAAGGTTTACCTTTTCAGGAAGAACCGTCAACACTCAGAGACTTTGTATGTGATGTTTACTCTGGAATTTACAAACATAATTGGTTTGCTCCATCATGTTGAGGAAATTCTCACCCAGAAAATCTCCTCCATCAACATAGATAAGCTTTACTGTATGAGTATGAGAAGAAAAAGATTCATAGTATAGCTACCACTTTGACTTGTACATGGGGAAATGGATGCATCACATAGTAAAAATCTGCAGCAAGACATGATGTGGCAATATCATCTGAAAGTAAAATTTATCAGATAATAACTAAATAGACAAACTTTATAATGGCATATGATAAGTGCATAATGTCCCAAACACCGAGGCAAACTATGAAATGCTATATAAATGACGCAATTAATCATCCAATCATAGCATAAGGAGAAAATGCAAGCCAGCAATTAACTTTTACCTTCAAAGTACATGTAGACACCATCCTTTCTGCGCCACGGCTTCCGCTGCCTGACAATGACAGCAGGCATAACCTTCTTCCTCAAGTCCGGCTTACCCTTCTTGACGGTAGCCATCACCATATCCCCGACACAAGCAGACGGAAGCCGGTTTAGCCGGCCCTTTATCCCCTTGACGGATATAATATAGAGGTTCTTGGCCCCTGTGTTGTCGGCACAGTTGACCGTCGCCGCCACTGGAAGACCCAGCGACATGCGGAACTTGTTTCCAGCGGTGCCTCCTCGTCCTATTGTATCACCATAAACAAATCAGTTAACAAACCAAAATCACACGCATTCTACAGATCGGGTAGATAGTATCTAAAATTGGAACCAAACCTCAACAAAACCCCACCTTTCTAACGAAAGATGAAATCTTTTGCAAAAAAACAACGTTTTACCATCATCTAAGAACGAAATCTTACACAAGAAAAATATTAATGTATTCCCAAAGCTACAGCAAAGAAAACCACGCAACGGAAGCATTGATTCGGTGAAAGAAGAAATCCCGATAAAAGAATACCCTACTCACCTCGTTTCGACATCTCCGAAGGAGTCGGCGACAGCGGAAGGGGTTAACGCGTCGGTCTTATTTATAGCGCGCAGCGTGGTGGGAACCTAGGGTTTTAAGATGTCCGATCACTATAATGCCCTCGAGTCATGGGCCGAACCGGAAATGGATATTGGGCCAATCTGCCCGGCGTTACCTGGAGCCTCCCGGTGGCTCGGCGCGAACAGTGTGAAAAGTAGACGGAGTCGGGGCGACGAATTCGTCGGTCGCTTTCCCGGACGCCAAAAGCCACAAGCGGTGGTTGGAAAGAGAACACGGCGTTGAAACATGTGGGCTGGGTGTCGGGAATGCTTCGGGCCGCTCGGCTCATCTGAACCGCACACGTGTCGGCGATCTCAAATCTCAGCCGCGCATTACCGGATTCCGTCCGCCCGTCTCAATCGGCGTTGGTGAGCGCATCGCGGTTGCGATCGTTGACGGTCGGTCCCGCGGGCCAAAGCCTACAGCAACGGGGCCCATCTACTTTCCGTCTCACAAACCGCTGGTTAGAGCTGGTCAAACTTGATCACGTCAATTTGACTCGTACCCACGCGTCGTGGTTCTCGATTGACATTTGCCATACGCAATCCACAAACCAAATTAATATTTTAACCTCGATGGATTGCTGTGCGTTCCCACATCTTCCTGATCGACACAGAGCAGCGAAATGAATTCGCCGAACCACGCGAAAAGCCGTATGCTGCTGTCATCAGACAACCAACGGTCCTGATCAGGCGCAGCGTCGCTTCTTCCCGTCACCTAGGCGTAATCTGGACAGCACACGTGTCACCTAAATGAAATCACAGCCGCAGATTTCCAGATGCTTCTCCTGTTGATCCCCGGTGTCAGCTTACGCCTTCATGACGCGTCTCGGCTACCCGACCATAAACAGCAAACTAAAAGCTAGTCAATCTCAATCGAACACGTTCGCAATAACGGCCAAGTTTCATGCGTTTATTGGAAAGCGCCACTGCGTATGTGGGAGAGCCGGTAGGTTCGGATAACCGAGCCACGATCCGAAGCTTCTCGAACCTTGGTTTGTGAGAACGAAGCGGGAGCTCGAGCCTCCTTCGATCTCTCACTCTTGCCGAGGCAGGTTGAGAGGGCGTCTCTCCCGTCTAACGATTGTGGTGTCCTGCCCCCGATCTCGAGCGCCCATCTCGCACCCATCGACTCTGGTCGCCTCGAGCTCGGATCTCGGAGAAGAACCATCCGGAACTGCGGTGGGTCGCAGTAGGTGTTGGGCTGAGTTATGTGGTAAGAGGTCGTGTTCGGATTTGCGATTTTTGGTTTTCCGTTTTTGCATTAAGTAGATTGTGGCTTGTAGATTTTGGAATTGGTTTTGTGACTGATGATTAGAGGCCGAGATCGATAATGCGTGCGGTGATATAATTGTTACTCTTTTCCTCTTAGCGTGTTAGGGTTTTGTTTTGTCGATTGTTTTGGATGATGGATCATGCTGTAAGACGAGTGGAGTAGCGCTTTTCTGGTGGTGAGTCGAGCGGAATATGGCGCAGAGTAATTGGGAAGCTGATAAGATGTTCGTACATTGCGATTAAGATACTTATATTTTGTACTTCTACTGGAGTAGTATTCTCTTCTTACTTGGCTTTTTGTTTTTTCTTTTTTTTATTTCTCGTACTGTAGGCTTGATGTCTATATTTATGATTATTTGATGAAGAGAAATCTGCAAACCACTGCAAAAGCTTTCATGGCTGAAGGGAAGGTTGCAGCTGATCCAGTAGGTAATGGAATTCCCTTTTTGGTTCCTTTCTAGATGTTCTATGTGATATAAGGTTCTTGGTATGTTTGCTGATAATATTCTGGCATATTCAATTTGGGATATCATTCATAGAGTACAACAAATTATCTGACCGGAGACAGAGCAGCCAAAATTCTTTTACCAAATGCTTCTTTTTAACTAGGAGAACTAAAGAATCTCAGTCACCTGACATAGCTTGTGATTATTAGTTGTTGCCCATCAGTTCTGACAGTCAAATTTGTTGAGCCAGTTTAAGAATTGGCCTAGGCCACATTTTTTCCGGATCAGGAGGACCTACAAGTCCCTGATCATGTAGCGACATTGCCAAGATGTGAGAGAACCAAAATTTATCCTGCTGAGTTCCACCCTGATGCTCAAGTCATATTATTATTGAAGACCAACAAAAGATGATGGTCTTACTGAATTCATTACTGCACAACTTATTCCTACTTTTATATGATTTTTTTCTGCCTAAATGATGATAGGTCAAGTGTGCCACCTATTTAGTTAAGTGATGATGGGTCTAGTATGCCACGAGTCCAAATGAAGGGTACCACCATGTCTAGTTGTGGTTATAGTGGATGTGTTGGCAAGAAAATGGGATTGGATTTCCTTGTGACCATGTCTCAATGTGGTCATTGTGGTGTTGGCAAGAAGACATTACTGGATTTCATTGACCATGTCTCAATGTGGTCATAGTGGATGAGCGGCAAGAAGACGGGATTGCATTTCATTGTGCATCCCTGACACTTCCTATTTTTTCTAAAGCTCTACAACATAAGTAATCTACTACCATTTGATGTGGATATTATCTCCCTTCTTTTACCTTATACCTGTATTATCGTCTCTTTACATTAATACTGTTTTCGGAAAGTGTAGCTAGAATGCAAATGAATGATATTTATCCTTGGATCTGATTTTCAGAATAGATTCATCATTCCAATTTCTTCTGCTTTTTTCACATTTCCAGATGACATATTTTCTGCTGTGTAAATTTCTGCCTAATTAGATCTTTCGAGGAGTCACTTTGTTTTTAATTTGATGGAATAGCTTCAACTCATAAATATTAGCTATAATTCTGGAAATTATTATATGTCAAAGAAAACTTATTAAGAAAGTCATGACTTTTGACTTCATTTCACAGCAATTGATGCTCCTGGAGGATTTCTGTTTGAATGGTGGTCAGTCTTTTGGGATATCTTCATTGCAAGGACAAATGACAAGCATTCTGAAGTTGCAGCCGCATATATAGAGGTAAAATCGTCACAATCCTTGTCCTCATTTTTTTCCCTTTACCACTTTTCTGAGTAGTCATTCCTGAACATTTTTTTGTCTGATAGGCTCAACAAATCAAAGCAAGGGAACATCAGCAACAGTTACAGATGCAACAGTTACAATTGATGCAACAGCGACATGCTCAGTTGCAGAGAAATAATCCTACTCATCCTTCGCTTATGAGTCCTGTAAATGCTGTAAATTCTGATGGCATTTTAGGACCTTCAACTGCTAGTGTCTTGGCTGCCAAGATGTATGAAGAACGTATGAAGCACCCACACTCAATGGATACTGAGACATCCTCGCAGCTTCTCGATCCTAATAGGATGGCCCTTCCTAAGTCCGCAACCACTCACGCTGGGTAAAATCTGTTTATTTCTCTTTGATATTGAGACCTGCCACTGCACCTATTAAAGTTCATTCAATTGTTTCATCCATTGTTGCAGGCAGTTAATCCAAGGTAATCCAGGGAGTATCTCTGCAACATTGCAGCAAATTCAAGCTCGAAATCAACAGACAGCTGTAACTTAGTGCACTTTTTTTTATGTTTTGTATCTTCAATGTTTTATATTTAGATATCTTGCTTTATCATAGACTTGATCGATCTGTTTTATTCTCATGTATTATATTTATGATAGGACATTAAGATGGAGGGTAATTTGAATATGCCTCAAAGAACTTTGCCCATGGATCCATCCTCGATATATGGACAGGGCCTTATACAGTCAAAGTCTGCATTAAATGTTGCAGGTAAGTGAATGTTTACCATGACTTTTTGTAACTAGTATTTCTGTAACCATCTGGATATTTACTTGAGAGGAAAAGAATGGTCAAATATCCATTAAATTTCACAAATTACTGTTAGATTTTGTAATTTTGTTTATATAATTGTTTACTTAGATACTGTATTCTGTCCTAGTTTAACAAGATTGGAAGTAATGACATATCAGGATCATTATGGATTAGTATCCTATACTTGTATTTATGCTTCACATAGGACTGGGCGAGTCTTTGTGCTGCAACAATGAGCTCTCACTGAGGTTTTCTTTTTGTGTGTGTGTGTGTGTGTGTTTCATAGAAACAGCTTTACCTTGTTATTTGAAAGTCAAGGGAAGTGATCATTCTAAGTTTTTTATTTTATCTTTTGAGATAATTTCCTATCTGTTTCTGTCTTCTGATGATCACATTCTTTTCATGATTCTTGACTTTATATGAAGAATTATGTATTTCAAGGGTCTGGTGCCTTTGGAAGTGCAAGGCTGTCAAGACATACCTTTTGGTGAATTTGATTTTTTATGACTTATACGAGATTAGGTGCTAAATGACTTTTTGCCTATACAGGACTGAACCAAGGTGTCAGTGGTTTTCCATTGAAGGGTTGGCCTCTAACTGTGAGTAGTTTTTCAGAGCGTTAAGATTTCTGTAATTTCATCTTGTTGTACTTATCTATGTTGACTTGTTTCTATTACATATTCATGCACAGGGTATCGACCAGCTTCGGCCCAATTTAGGTCCTCAAGTGCAGAAGCCTGTTATATCTGCACCAGCTCAGTTTCAGCTTATGTCACCACAGCAACAGCAACAGTTCCTAGCACAAGCACAAGTACAGGGCAATCTTGGTAGTTCTTCTAGCTCTGGAGATATGGATCCTCAACGATTTAGGACATTGCCTAGGGGTAGTTTAAGTGGTAAAGAGGGCCAACCCACTGGAACTGATGGGTCAATAGGTTCTTTGATTCAGTCAACCTCACCAAAGATCAGACAGGATCAAGCTGAATACATAATGAAGGTTAGTTTTTCCAACTTGTAATCACACTGAGATTATTTCAAGCTTCTCATTGCATACTATTTAATACTACTTGGAACAAGAATATTCAGTTACATATATTTGGCTACTTGTCTGTCAATGAACATGGATAATATATTTGTTCTTTTAATTGAGCAGGAGGGAGACTTTTGTATGTTTTATGTGCATCCTTTGGTTCTTGCCATTGTTTTAGTTATCATGACACGATTTTCGGTATTAGCAGACAGGATTTTTGGACATAGTAATGCAGCTCACTGAAGCATATGCATATCTTACATTATAGTTTGTAATGCGTAAAATTTAAAATACAACCAAGAATTCCAATCTCAGAAGTACAATAAATTAAATGTTCTTTTCTTTTTCTTTTTCTTTTTCATTTTGTCAAAGGACAGATGGGTCAAGGATTAAAACCTCTGTTCAAGATCAATAACAAACGTTGGTTGGGCCAGTACTTTACCACAAGTATGAGCTTGTGTCAACCTGTACCTATTTGGCCCTTTTAACCTCTAGTAAATCTTGTCTTCTTTTTTTTTATCCCTCAATGTTAAACCAAAATGCATTTAGGATCTACTAAAGTCCGTATGTTAAAAATACATACATAAAAAAATTCTAAAAATGCATGAAGTTAGAACATTATACATGTATGACTAATAAATCATAAACATATTATTGAAAAACTTATAGATACATGAATTTTAGAGCTATATGAGCCATGCGTTATTAATGACTACTGCCACCAAAAGCAATGGCATGTTGGATCAGAGGTGTCTAGGTCCACAAGGTGAATCAGTTGGTGATAAGTATTATAATTATAAACAACTCCCATGATATTACTTTGAAACATTCAATCTAGCAATAGTTATGATATCTTGTTCGTTATGTCTAATTTATATCAGTGTTGCAAGGTAAGTAGGGCTATGCAACAATTGATGTAGAACTAGTGTTGAGTGGTGAGACCATGAGGGCTATGAGCCATTTGAAGCAAAGTCACAAATTAGGACCAATTATAGATAACATATCATAGCCCTGAATTATGTTCTGGTTGTATGGTTATAACTATGAAAATTCCTATCTAACTCGATTACAACTAAGCTCTTTTCATCTTCTCAAAGTCTTAAGTTGCTTCTCCTTGCCGTGGTGTTTTTCATCCATGACCTATTTTTCATTCGTGTCGTTATCATCATTTGGGTGGCATGACTACATGAGGGAAGTATTGCTCTTCACAAGGTTCATCGTTCTGCGGTATATCGCCCTGTATGGGTGGTACATACTAGTCCGACAGGGGATCAGTATGTGGACAACCCTGTACCGGGTGGTATATACTTAAAAGCTCTATATCACTCGATACAGGCCTGTATCGCTTGGTAACAATCAAAATTCGACGGTTACTGACCTGTATCGTTCGGTAATGGTCGGCTCTTTCGTTCCTCTCTTTCATCCTTTTTCACTCTCTCAAACTCTTATACTCTCCCAATCTCTTTCTCACTCATTTTTTTTTTAAATTCTCACATTTGCACTCTCTTAAAATTTCACAAAGCTGCGATTTATGGATTAAATCAAGTTTTGGAGGCTAATTATGGAGGATTAACACCTAAAGAAAGAACTTTCTAATCAAAGGTATATGGGATCGTAGACAACTTCTCAATCGCATTCAACAACCCACTTGGTCCGAAGATATGGCAATGACGTGGACAGTAATGCCTCGATCGACAATGGTGTCGACACTGGGAAGTCAATGGTCTCATCTACACAGTTTGAAAGTGGTGCATAGATCGAGAAGCAGTATTTTATGCATGCCATCCAAACTCAGATCATGGAGCTCGACGTGATAGTTGGCAATTCATCTTTAAGCAGCGGTAATAGTTGGTCATTCTTCTTCGAGTAGCAGTACGGTGATCGATCTTATGATACAGAGCAACAAATAAGTGGTGAAAATAGAAGTTTTGACATTCTTCATGCTCCGCACCAATAAATGCAACAATTGTACTTACCTTCGGAGTCGCCTCGAACACGTGTGATTCACAACGATCAAACTATGACAATAACCACATTGATGCACCGATGGCATACGGTGTATTGATATACTATGTCGTGGGATCAATTTCAGGATTGAGACTATGTATCGATATACTATATACAGTGTAGCAATATATTGATCACACGTGTATCGATATATTATGTCGTGGGTTCAATTTCAGGATTGGGACGGTGTATCGATACACTATATACAGTGTACCAATATATTGATCACACGTGTGATCCCACAACCAATTATAGTATATCTGTATACTATGTCGGTATGGAGCGGTATGTACCATACTGCTGGCCAGCCGGTACATCGGTTCGGACTGGTAAGGCGAACCTTGGTTCTCCAGGCCATTCTCTTTGGTGTCTATCTGTTAGGAAAACAGGACCGTAACCTTGCCACCATTGTCAATGGACATGACAGTATCTGTCTCACTGTCATCTTTTTGGACCTCATGCAGATTGGAATCAAATGATGATCTTATCTTTATAAAGGAAACCAGAGGCCAGTTTCATAAGGAGTGGCTTCATGGACTTGCGGTGCTCACCTTAGGTGCTATTTATTGAAGTCATTGAGCCACAACTGAAGCAAGGCACAAGATTAAAGCATTGATGGCATCACTCCTTAGGTGCATCTTTAACAACACTGAATGCAACCGGTACTTGAAATAGGACTCAAATTAAGAACATGGATCGTAAACTGAAATAAGACACCAAGGGCTGTCTGCATTAACAACTGAAAATAAAGATGAAAATTATCCTGTTGAAGATAAATGACTCCTGTTGTTCTCAACCTAAACTCATTTAAGATCCATCTTAAACCAAACTGTTTTATCCTTTCCTATCAATAATGAATTCCTAGATATTTCTGTTTTTTGCCCCAGATTCCGTTTGCTCTCAGCAGTCCTTTTAAGCCCTATATTGGAGTGTCAACATTTATCAACTTTTGTTAATGCAGACATGAAATGTACATTATAGATTTGCCTTAAAGACCAAATCTGGTGATATTTATAAGTTCTAATCAAACCAAACATTTCTTTGGCAGTCCTGTTCTCAAATTCAAACATAATTCATAAAACATCTGGTATATCTATTATACAAGAGGTACAATCTAATAAAGTGTTTCATATAAGACCATGTTTACTTGAATAAGGTGGTTGATCAATCTGAACCATGTTTCAAAGTTTTTCTGTGTCATTGCATTCCATTCTTCCTTGTTTCTACAAAACGGAGTCTTGAAACTTCAAATATAGTATTATAAGAAAATATATCATATATAACCCGCCCCTGTTGGCATCTTTCCATCCTACAAGGACACCTCCTGGAGTGTCCTATGATTGACACTAGAAGAAAATCCGACTAACTGAAAATCACATTGTTATCTGTGGAGGGTGTTCTTTTTTTTTTCTCTTCTTTTCTTTTCCGTTTGAGAAACCTAGTGGTTTTACTACGGTTATTCTGACATAAAAGATATATGTTCAAGTGTCGTGTTATTATTGCATCAGATATATTATTTTTCACCATTTCTTTGGAAACTGTTGCTTTTAATGGTTTCTTTCTCGTAGCTCATGTTGATAACTGCAGATAGATGTCTTCCCCTTTCTGCCTTGTTGCTTGTCTGGTACTTTATGAATTTAGATAAAGATTGTGCAGATGCAGCAGTCCTCATCTCAGAAGCCACAGGAACATCTCCAGCAGCAACAACAGTTAGAGCAAGTAATAAAGAACCACTTTTGCAACTCCCTTATTTTATGTTTTCAACTATCTCATCATCAAATGACCTCAACCAATCTGTCTGTGTTCTTTCTGTTTTTTGGAGTGATGAAAATATATTTTCTGACAATTCTTAACTGTGATATCCAGAACAATAGGAAAAGGAAACAACCTTCTTCATCTGGGGCTGCCAACAGTACTGGCACTGGAAACACTCTGGGTCATTCTCCCAACTCTCCTTCGTCAACACCATTTACCCATACAATTGGTGATAGGGTGGGGATGGCTGGAAACTTGCACCATGTTAGCAGTATGCCAAAAAGTTCAATGATGTATGGTACTGATGGACCAGGGCTTGCTTCGTCTTCAAATCAGATGGTATCAATTTCAATTTTCTTTCTCTTTTTCTTTCTTTTTGATCTTAAAGTTATAAGAGGAATCTATTGCAATTAACCCCATGTTGGTTTAAAATTTTGTATAGGATGATCTGGAGAACTTTGGGGATGTTGCTTCTTTGGAAGATAATGTAGAGTCATTTTTATCGCATGTTGATGGAGATGCAAGGGACATATTTGCTGCATTAAAAAAAGGCCCTTCTGATCAAAATCAAGGGTCTTCAAAAGGTATACATGACAGTGCTGTTTGTTTTATACTACAAAAATGATCCTGAATATGCTTAAACTTTCTGTCCAGGTTTTACATTCACTGAAGTCAATTGTATTTGCACAAGTAACAGTAAGGTTGTCTGCTGTCATTTTTCTTCTGATGGGAAATTCTTGGCCAGTGCTGGACATGAGATGAAGGTATTAAGCATTGGTATTGGAACTAGTTGAACTCATGCAGCATTTATTTGAGAATTCTGGATGCCAAATTGGTGCAATGATATATTATTATTCTCAAAAGGTTAACTGCTAAAAGAGGGATTCCCTAGTATCAAGTTTTAGAGATTCATTAAGCTACAACTGAAACATCGTTTGTTATTGCCACTGGTCTTTTTTATTGTGCATTAGTTGTAAAAAGGAACCAAGATATTATGGGTGTATCTTGAGGTACATCTTTTTTGCTCTTATATTGAAGCACGAGTGGTCATTAAGAGCTAAGACATAAGCATTTTCCTTAGAGCCTTCCACTGGCTTTATATTAATGGTAAATAATTTCATTCTCTAGTTTGTAGAACATGTTTGACCAGTTAGATGTTAAAATTCCTGTACCTGCTGATTGTCATTCTGTTTTTGTGCTTGCAAGTATGGTTCTATGTTTTGCTTGGACCAGTACATGCCAGTCCAGTCTGGCCTGTTGGGTTGGCGTCATGGACTAGTCACGTGCCTCCCAACACTGCATAGTCTCCTCTTAGAAAAAGTTTCATGGCACATGCTGGCGTATCATCTGTTAGTACACTAGCATGTACATGTATTAGACCCATTCCGGTCCAACCTGGGACCAACACGGGTTCAGTACTCATAACATCAAACCATGCTTGCAAGTATTTCTGCCATTTGAATTTATGGTTACTAACTTGCGTTAAGGTTTCTTTATGTAATTTATGTTGATTGCAGTATTGAACTAGTGAAATTTGTCTTATTTAACAATTTATTTGTCATCTTGTAGGCTGTTCTATGGAACATGGATACTTATAAAACAGAGAGTACTCCGGAAGAGCATAGTCTTATCATTACCGATGTTCGTTTTATGCCAAACTCAACTCGACTGGCAACTTCATCTTTTGATCGACATGTGAAACTCTGGGATGCAACACAAGTAAGGATCTATTCTTTCTGGACTTTAAGCCTTGGCTTGTATCTTTGTTTCATGTGTCCTCTGTTTCATCTTGGGTTTTTATTATATTTAGCTACAACTTTCATCTATGATTTTGTAGCATATACAGAAACCTAGCTGTTCTTTTATGATATCATCCTTGAAACGGGTTTTGCTGCAGGTGCTTTTTGGACTTAAAATCTAAGCCATGTCTTGTCACTTTTCCCTTTTATTTAGGCTCTTCAAGTTTAATGTTGCAGCTTGGGCTTTTGTAATGAACTTTATTTTGACTGTATTTTTCTTGACTATTATTTTGGATTACAGTATGGCCAACTCTAATATGTGACAATGGCTTTGATTATGATGCAGCTTTGAGGTCTATAGCCTAAAAATTTTTCTCTGATAATTAAGAAGTGGGTAATAGTTAATGCTATATTAACCAAGTTATGATGTACTTATAGTTGGTATCTGGGCAGTCAAGATAATGTATGCTGCATATGTTGTACGTGGAAGCATATGGCACTGTCTGTGGGGGTCAATTGAATATCCAAATTCATATTTGATTCAACATGCATAAAGAAATATATACAATCAATCTTTATGTATCCACTAAACAATAAAAATCTATACAATGGCATTTATGCTCTTTTAAGAACTTACAATAGTGATAAATCATAGGAACTGTGTATTTCAAAGTGATTAATGTTGTGTTATCATGTACCATTTGTAATGTCATCCAGATAGTAGTAATTGTCATGACAGCACTAAAGAAGAAATCCCTGGATTTTATTTTCTCAACTTATTTTTTCTAATGTTGTCTTGTATTTTTTATTTGTCCAAACTAGCTCCTGAGTTTGTCTAAACTGTACCAGTTTGTTCTGCACACTTGATGGTCCTTTGCTTTTTTCTCTTTTTACTTGCTTTTTCTAAGCATAATTCTCAGTGACAAATCTTCTTTAGAAAGTTTCATTGGTTTGAGCTACCCAATGCATATCTTATTCCTTGTACAAAATCTGCTTCAAGCCAGATTGATTATAAGCTACCTTAACATTATACCTAAATGTTCCGTCTTACCACATTTTTCATTTGATCCTCATATATGTCTGCTTTGTTTGTTGTGAGAGATCTCATTGTTTTGATGTTAGCATACTGATAGAAATTAGAATTAGAGTTCCATTCATGTGATCCTGCCCAATGGAAAACAGAAATAAGACAAAATTGGAGCACCTTTTCTTTTCATTCAACAATCTTATACGAAGTAGCTGATTTTTGCGACCATCTTCATCTCTTTGTAGCCAAATTATTGTTTGCACACTTTTTCGGGGCACAATTCGCAAGTGACATCCCTGGATTTTCATCCAAAGAAGACAGATCTAATGTGCTCTTGTGATGGTAATGGTGAAATTCGATTGTGGGATCTCAGTCAGTACACACTCTCACGTGTTTCGAAGGTTAATATTTATAATTCTTTTCCTGTGTTGTGCTTTATATAAATGTCTATTTTTATAGTGGATGGTACTTGTGTACACTTCAGGGTGGTACAGTACAAGTTAGGTTCCAGCCTAATGTTGGACAACTTCTGGCAGCAGCTGCGGAAAATGTGGTGTCAATTTTTGATGTGGAAACAGATAGAAAGAAACACACATGGCAGGTGTTCTTCTACCAGAGATTAGTAGATTTTAGCATTGTTATTACTTTTATTGAAATGCCAAACTCAAGAATATTGATCTTTGTTGTTTCTGATAACCATCATCTCTGTTTATTTGCAGCTTCACAAAAAGGATGTGCAATCTGTTTGCTGGGACAACACTGGAGAACTCCTGGCATCTGTTAGTCAGGATTGTGTAAAGGTGTGGTCGTTAGCAAAAGGCGAGTGCATTCATGAGCTAAGTTCCAACGGGAACAAGTTCCATTCTTGCATTTTCCATCCAAGCTATGCGAATCTCTTGGTTATCGGCGGGTATCAGGTAGTGGTCTATTTCTCCAACCATTGTTGACAATTCGTTTGTGTTCATGCATTATAGAAGCAAGTGATCTGTTATACAATCGTATCTGACACAGCTTTCTCATCGATCATTGTAGCACTTTGCAGAACTCAAGTCAAAATCTCCTCAATTCTACTACTGATTGTTTTTTAATTGCTTAGTATCTGTTGGTTTACAGCCTCCTGTTCTCCTCATTGACTAGGATCGATCACCATTTACCTGATAACTCATAGGATTTGAGAGTCGATTTATATCTTGTTTGTGGTGTCCTCTTCTTCATTCACTGACATGCGAACTAACTGCAGACTTTGGTGCTGTGGAACATGGGAGAGAACCAAACCATGTCAGTCCAAGCGCACGACGGTTTGATTGCAGCACTGGCAGAGTCACCAGCCGCAGGAATGGTAGCGTCTGCGAGCCACGACAAGTCTGTCAAGTTGTGGAAGTAGGTAATAAAGCATTAGATCGTTACGCCGTCGATTGCAGAAGAAGCAGAAAGGGAACAAATAACGCACGTTACATTTTATTCGGTTGGTTGGTTTGGTTTGGTTTCAGGGGAATAAAATTAGCTTCAGGTGTTTGTGATGGTGTGCTGTAGTAAATGTATGTGACTGGAAGCATTGATATGTCTTGCTTCCAATTTAAGGGTTCTGTCAGACTCTTTGGACGCATGGGAATCGGAGAACAGTTGTTCCATAACCATCTTCTTCTTTTTATTATTATTATTATTATTATTGGTATCTCTTGTTCCATAATCTATAGCAATAAACGACATTAATTCATCCATTGTAAGAAACTAATATTATTTTGATGAGTCTATTAATGTAAGAAGATGAGTCTTTTATTACTTTGATGTTAGAAGATGAGTACTTTTAGGAATGGATCATACAAAAAAATTTATGTCGAGATGTATAGGTTTCTGTAATGCTTAAATCAGTAAGGGTTTTGGATAATTTGGAATGAAGTTTAGGACTCGGTCATATGGTGTCAAACTCGAAAAACATGCTAGACTAAACCATAGATATGTGCTTCCTTCTTCCTTCGACCATAGATATGATAATAGTAGTTTAGTCAATTTCTTGCAAGACCGACTCTGCTGGACTAAGTCGCTTGGTGGTGCGGTGTCGGCCGTATAGAGACGAGGTATCGGGCTATGTGGTGGTAAGGTGCAGTAGTCTTGCTCGTGACATCATATCCTCGTATTGTTTGACCCTCATCATGTCTCGATGAATTCAACTTATGTTAGACTCTGAATTTAACCACTCAGTGATTGGAATAACGCTTTACGCCTATTCATTCATGTTATCATCAGTGCTTTGAGCTGATTTGATCGTATTATCATCGGAATAACACTTTGGGCTAACTTGGTCGTATTACTATTCGAATAATGCTTTGGTCATTTCGATCATGCTATCATTGAAATATGCTTCTAAACCAATTGGCTCGTGTTGCTGTCAGGAGATTCTTTTGGGCCAATTCAGCTTATGTTGTTGTCTGAAGATGTTTCTAGGCTGATTCGGTTTGTGTTGCTATCGGGGGATGTTTCTATATCGATTCGAATGCATCATTGTCGAAGAACTTTTTATGACCTAATTCAATTATATCATTGTAGAATGATTGGATTTGATCGTGTTCGATCACATCAATGCACGACACTTCTTGGCTGATTTAATCGTATTATTCTAGAGGGACGTTTATGTCCAAATTGGGTGCATCATTGTAGAAGGACGTTTCATGATCAGGTTTAGTCGTGTCGTTATAGAATGTCACTTCATGCAGGAATGATCGTATCATCATCGAGGGACACTTTATAACCAGGTTTAATCGCATTGTTGTTATTGCAAAATGATGCTTCTTGCTAATTCGATCATGTCATTATAGAGGGATGCTTCGTGGTCAAATTTGATTGCATCATCATCTAAGAACATTTATGGTTAGGTTCGGTCATATTATTATAGAAGGGTGCTTCATAGTTGGGTTTAGTTGCATTGTTGTAGAAGGATGCTTCATAGCCAAGTTTGATCATGTCATCATCGAGGGATACTTTATGATCAAGTTCAACTGTATTGTTGTAGAATGATATTTTTTTATTGACTCAATCTCGTCTCCATAGAGGGGCACTTCATGATCGGGTTTGACGATGTCATCATCTAAGGATGCTTTATGATCGAGTTTGATTGAGTAGGAGCATTCTTCTTGGCCAATTCGACCATGTCATTGTCGAGAGTTACATCTTTAGACAATTTGACCGGATTGGTATAAGGAGCTATCTTTTCAAGTGGTTTAATCATGTAAATGTCAGAAGACACCTATTTAGGTGGTTCAGTCGTGCTGGAGTCGAGAGTCACCTATTTAAATAATTTGATCATATTGGTGTCGGGATTCATTTCTTTGGACGATTCGATCACGTTAGTATTGGAAATTATCATTGGAAATTATCATTTCAAGCAATTCGATCGTGTTGAGGTTAGGAGCCACCTTTTTCGATGATCTGGCCTTGCTAGTGATAAGAATTACCTTTCGAGACGATTCAATAAATTAACGTGAGTTTTATGTCGTTAGATATTTTGATCATGTTGGTATCGAAAGACACCTTTTCAAACGATCCAACCATATTGGTGTCGACCATTGCACAGACTCTACCACGTGAAGCCACCTCTTCGGGCAACTAAATTACGAGTGTCACATTGGATATCTCAAATTATAGTTGCACGTGGTGACGAAATGGGTGTAAGTTGCAATGGAACCGCAAAGAACTTACTCCTCCGAGAATACCGCCGGTTTCACAACCACCAAGTGGAAACCCCGTGAACCTGTCGCAACACGCCATTTGGCAAAACCTACGAATGACACTTGGCGGTTCACGTTAGTTATTGGCGACGAGGGTATCATTGACGCGCAACAACCTCCTCATGCTTTCCTCCCCCCTATAAATACCTCCTCCTCTTCATCATCACCTCCGCACCACCACAAACAAGAAAGCAACAGAATGGCGAGCATCGTCCTCACCGGCGCCATCGCCAGGTTCGTCCCACTCGGATCGGCCATCGCCGGGGGAAGTCCGAGGAGCTCGCGGTTTCTGGTCACCCTTCTCAGGTGCGAGAAAAGTAGTATCCGTTTTGTCTCGTTCGTGTTTATGACTGCAGGGACGGGCTGAAATGACGAGTTGATGTGTGTGTGGCAAAGGGGAATATGGGAGAGGACGCGCCAACGAAGGAGGAGGTGACTTCGGGGCAGGCGAACATGGCGACGGAGAGCCGAGGCATCGCCAGTGCTGCAGCCAGTCAGGTACATTAGTAAATACACATCTTCTCAGTTTGGTGTCTCGACTTATATGATTCTTGGATCAACAATAGAGATGCATGGGGATCCGCCAAAGGAACCACCGAGGAGGCGGCGGACTGACTTCGTCTCTAGCAAGGCTCAACAGGCGAAGGAGAGCATCAAAGACAACGTGAATGACTTTAAATAACAAAGCAGGATAACGAAATTGAAAGAGAGGACAGTGAAAACAATGATCGTAAACAAGGAACGATGATGAACAGAATTAAATATTTCATCTTTGAAAACATAGATATCTAAATATAATTTTCTCAGATGTAAAAATTAAAATTATGCCAATTGATCTGAAAACTATCGATAACAAAATAATTGTCTATGTAATATAAGCAATAATATATTTTTGAGACTGCAATATTGTGACTGAGAGTGTTGTAAGTTCTAACCTGGTTGACCATAAATGGTCAGACGACAGCAAAGCAAACCATTTTCATTAAAAGAAATTGCAGCATAACAATCAAATTAACATTCACTACAAACAAAAAAGACTGTAAATAAACTTCAAATCTGCGCATTGATAGTAACAACAGCGTCGAATTCATGAAAGACAGAAACCACACTGCAGAATGGGCAGGTAAAACATAGTTTAATGAAATGCATCAGACGATCAACATAAATTACTTGACATCATTTAAGTACAACAAAGTTGGAAAACAAAAAAGGAGTGGATCACACTAGAAACTTTGTTCTTTGATTGAACACTACATTTTTCTTCTTTTTTTTTGGCTTTTTTTAATGATATAGATGCATCCATAACATAATGCAGGTAACACCCTCAAATGGGGCGGGAGGGGTGAGCTGGTTGCTACTGACCATTTCATCAAGCAAAATAAAGAACAAATGGAACTACTTAAGCGTGGTACTGAGGATATCACACACTTCTCACCGAAATGGAATGAATATGAATCTCTAGATACACATATTGATACCTGTGTTAATTTACCTAACATTCCGGATATACAGCACTTGGTTTGCTATTCGAAACCATCCAATAGTTGCTGATCTTCTGAACCTCTGGTGGATTGCTTTCTGTTGGTACCTCGCTTGCTCTTGCCCTTCTTGGCCTTCATCCGGCGCTTCTTTTCAGTGGCATCAATCCAAGTATAATCTGAGGGTATATGAAAAGGATCGATCTCATCTTTGCAGCTTCGCCCTTCACTGCTATCACTAGACTGCCCACCTCGGCTTCGTTTCACCCATGAATACCATGAACCTGATCCCTCTGTTTCTTTGGCTTTGCTTTCCTGGAAATGAGTTGGGCTGGAAAGTGGAGTCGAAAATTCATCAGATTGCTGGAGCTCTTCAAACTTTGTAAAGGTGATGAGAACCCGAATGGTAGGAACGATGGGAATGGCTAACTGAAATTGTTATAAAAAATATACTATTAAGTCGATGATTGAGAAAGTCAAAACATCATAGATGCAGTATTGAATTGTGAAATTTGCCATTTTAATCTTTAAATACATCATAGATGCAGCAATGGACTGAAAATTAATGGCTACTTCGATATCCAATTGACTGTTTCCATTCCGTGACCACAAGACAAAGATTTGACAAAATACATGTTATGTCATATTCCATGATCCACAGAGGTGCACCTTGCATCAGAAACAGAAAGGACATAATAAGAGAAATATTATTAGGATAAGCTTTATAAACAATGTCATTGCATGTTAAACTTTCATTAGAGATTCATCCACTAAAGTATTTCACCATTGCAGATCTATAACGAAAAACCTTAGTGACAATTTTTATGATTGACCACTCCATGAGCCCTTCAACAGCACTCACTGCTCCAAAAGGAAAGGCCTTTAAACTTAATAAACTGCTATAGAAACAAAAGCAACAACCACAACAATTCGTGGTGGTGTGAGGAGATAATATGTTCTTACTATAAACATATCACATCATCTGGCGAAGGGACAAAGACCCAAAAGATTGCACATGACTGAGATCAGCTGAGCACATGAGGGATAAGACAACAAAAAAATGAGACAAGAAATCACAAGACTAGATTAAAGGCAAATCATATATGTGGAAATTCATGACAGATCATACTGGGAATTTGGTCTACCACGATTAATGCTTTGAAATTCTCTTGGATTAACTAACTATTTATGTGAACATAAACTGAATTTCAAAGGCTGCAGAAGATATATTACAAAAGATTTATTTGATTTAAGTTCAATCCATAATGTCCAGATCATTGCAAAAAAATTCATCAAATGCACCTTAAGGGTAAAAATGGCTAGTAGAAAGCCATCAGAAAAGTTTATGATGACACATGATCAAACAAAAAAAGTATATTCTCAACAAAATTGCACATTTGCTTCTCAAATTTTCCAACCTGGAGAAATTATATACAAGTGTCAAGACAGAAATGGTACTTAGCTGGTTCCAA